AAACGGCTCATGATATCTACGGAGTGAATGTTACAAACGAACGCAAGACTCGGTATAGGTTTGAACGATTTCCATTCCACAAAATTTCCATGTATTTTGATTTAAAAATGAACCCCGTGGTCGCCCAAAAACCAAAATCAAGAACGGCGAATTCAAGGCGATAGTGGAAGCTGACGATATTCAATCCACCGCTGAGTTAGCAGCAGCTTGGAATGTTAGCATCAAAACGATTCTTATTTGCGTCAAACATTTGCAATACGTGCGTCAAATTAGCAAAACTTTATAAATGGGTGCCGCACGAAATGAACTATTGCCAGCGCGACGAATGCATTAAGATATACCCTACGTTGCTTAACAAACACAGACACGAAGGGATTTCGAACCGCAATGTCACTAGCATTGAAAAATGAATTATTTTTGATAATTGTAAGCGGTCATCAGCCATTGGCTTGAAGAGCTCAAATCTTTTTTTCTAACAAATGAGATCAAAGATTAAATTCACCTAAATAATCGCAATTATTCATTTAAAGATGATACTTAAAGAGAGAATGAGATTATTTAAAACCAAAAAAAATGTTATTATTTCTAGAAATTTCAGTGCACAAAAAATTTTTTTAGAAATTAAATAGCAACCCTAGCACAATCTAACAGTAGTACAAAATGAAAACTTCCCTTTGTAGTCGTACCGCAGCATGTAACTAATGTAAACGATGACTCCACATTTTGTTCAATGGACAAATTTTTGTGCCCGCCTACTCGTGTTAGGTAAAATTGTACATTCTTCATGGTCGCTCTACAGAAGCCTCGGCACGGAGGTGTTTATTCTTGTTTTGTTGGTATGTTTGTTGTGTTGATTGAAAATTTTCGAATTTAGCTTAGGGATGCTCCATGTACCTTTTAAGTCTTACATTCATTTATGAGGGTTTTTCGTATATCTTCATCGAATACGAACATATAAAATAGATTACAAATATTAACTAAATATATTATGTTTAAAAAATTTAAAAACATGTTTTCAGTTCGCCGAGCTATAAAGTAGAAAACAATTTTCGAATATTAAAAATTCGTTCTATTAAGATTTAAGGTTTATTGCTACATTATAATTTAAAAAAAATCCAATTATTTTAAAATAAGAATAAAGTTATCAACAACATAATTAATTTGTTTGTAGTTTTATAATTCATGGGTTTTGAAATCCCATCCAACACAGAAATATTTAACTTTATCAATCTGAAACCGCGAACCGTAGCTCACACGTGAGACATTAAAATTGGTTCGAAATTTAATTTATCCAAATGATCCAAACTTGCTCGCGCATCAGATTCCGTCGCTCTGAAGCCAAGCGGCCGTTTCCTGGGTATACTTTTTCAATTCCAGCCCATAAATCTAAGTTTAAAAAGGCTTGTAAAGACTCTTCCACCCTTTTTGTCTCCCGTAATGAGTGGATTACCATACAAATAGAAACGGTTCGGGCCGGTGTATAATTGAGTTCGGCGCCCCGCTGCCTCGGTCGCTTTGTGAGGGCCGCGCACGGATCGTCCGACTAGCAATTTATTTATGTACGATGATTACTTCACAAATATTGGTCGATGGTGATTAAATGCGCTGTTATTTGTTTATTATTGTCAGGCGAGAATAGTACTGGAGAGTTGGGGTGACTAGAATTAGTCGGTTCAAAATTGTGATGGTAAAATACTTTACTTTATGACCTGACTGTAATCAATTGTTATAATTAAGGCAGCGTTATATCAGCCTCCATGGGTGGGTAGCACAAGCCTACATTTTTCTGCAGCGAAATAAGCCAGCGTTCTGGTTTAAAAGGTATCAAAATGAGAGTCCGAACTAATACTTTCACGTAGTCAAGCCGTATGCTATGGAATCTTTTAGATTTACGACTTTTTGTTATGTCCTTGTTTTGAAACCTGCATCCCGTAAAGTGCTTAACAATTCTATGAATTGTTTAACATGATTCGACATCTCTTAAGCCATAGCTGAACCCGCTACTGGCGTATTGTCTGTCCTTGCTAGTATCAATGTGTTGGTCGTTATTGTCATATTAGATATTGTTTTATCAACTGCCGTTCATGGTCAACGAATAGCCAATCCATTTAGGTATTTTCTCGGCATATGCCATCATATCCTTCTCAATAGCAGCTACTAAAGAGTCGTCGATGAGCTGTGATTTCTATGATATAATTCTTCTTTTTCTTGCTCTTATCCCACATTCGGTCGGCACGGTATGTTGTCTTTTTTTTTCCCATTTTAACTACCATATTATGATGCATAGGGTTTTGCATGCATTTCAATACACAGCCCATTGAGTTTCTCGCCGGATCTTCTCAGTGGGTCGCGTTTCCGATCCGGTGTTATAATTCTGCGAAGCACGCCTCTTGCTAGGGTTCGTGTTAGCAACGTCGTCAGGTTTGAGCCCCGTGAGCTCACCTACTAATTAAGGTTACGCTGAAATACTCTCTCAAGGCTCTCTGCTTAGGTAGGAAAAAAAAGCATTTCACGACCAGGCCGCCTGCTCGATGTTACCCCCCTTGGCAATGCCATCGTTTGCTTAAGACGGTAGCCAGAAGAAATCAGCCACGTGAAGATATAGGTCGGTCTCATCCTAAGCTAGAAACCGCACGGCTTGTATAAATAATAGAGGTAAAAAAACACTTCAACTAATAAAACGACATCAGTTAACATTGTAAGCTCTTCGCAGATTCATACCTTATTAAAACACGCTTCATGTGAGACCTTAATAAGGACACGACTAACCGGGTAAGCTTGTGAACGCGATTTTACTTTTCTATATATGTCGTAGCGCTCGTAAATTGCGGTTAAGTTCCGATCGATGGTAAATGGTGACCGCCGCGGGCAGCAGCGCGATTTATGTTATAAGCATTCGTTGAATGTTATTTATATTGTTGTTTTAATTAATATTGCGTTTCGCTTGCTTTGTAATTGAATTCACGTGTAATATTCCACTAACATCTATACGGTTCGTTGATAGAGTATCATTCTAATTATAGTTTTTATTTATTTATTCATTTACCGTAATGTCTATTGGATTTTAGTATTGAGTTATCTGTTGTATTTTATTAATTACTGTATTTAGGCAGGCAATATCAACGGATAATTCGATTATTTTAATTTTTGAAATTTCCAAACGTTTTTTTGAATGTATAATTTACTTCTATAATAAGAAATGTAAAGTGAATATTTAAAAGAGCATCATTTGAGGAAGTAATATTTTTAACTTAACACCAAAGGAAGGTTAACTGCGGGTGATCCACTCGTTTATCTTCGATGATAGAAGATTTTTTGTATTATAAGCAATCGCTTCTATTGACCAGTAAGCTTAAAGAATTAATCCCAACATTAAATTTTTTTGAGGCAAAATCAAATACTAGGTTAAACTAAATACAGTATGGTTTTATTTTACGTGACACTCAAATATTTGTGTGTCAAATAATTTAGCAGCTACAGGATTGAGTGCTGGGCGTATACATACTATCTAATACATTCTGAAATTGGTATCTACTTAAATTGTGTTTCAAAGGTATTTTAAGTATCTTTTATATGTAAATTGCTTATTATTATTTATGTGTAAAGAAGCAAAATTTAAATTTGATTTTCAATCATTCTTGTCCACCTGATGGTTGTCTGGAAGAGATCGCTCTTAGCGATAAGACCGCCAATTGTACTTTTTTGTTTTTAATGTATCGCACTGTTTATTTGTTTTTTGGTGTACAATAAAGAATACTCTCTTTCTCTCTCTCTCTCTCTCTCTCTCTCTCTCTCTAATATATCTTTAAATTATCTATTGCACCTACTTCTTTTCCACATCTACTGTAGGCAAGATTTATAATTCGTTACTCTCTATTTGTTTAGCTCAATCAACTCTACTATCCGTTCTGTGCGATTGCATTTTACTGAAAAATTGAAAGGCTAGATACTAAATTGAGCATTGCACGTAGTATAAATAAATAATAAATAAATAAATAAATAAATATTTACTAACAATCACGCCACGTTAGCTGGTCCCGTAATAAGTTCGTAAAGAACTTGTGTTACAGGTACCAGATAACAGAAATAAATGTAAGATTTTTATTATACACTTACATATATTTAATATACATCCATAACCCTGGAAAAGACATTTATATTTATCATACAAATATCTTCCCTTGGCGGGATTCGAACCCGCGACCCCCTTGTGTAGTGACCATGTCACTTACCACTACACCAGACGGCCGTATGTTATGATGAAAATAATACCAAAGGAATGGCTTTCCTTTTGTTTTCTTATATTATAAAAAATAGAAAAGGTAAAAAATGAGAATAAAGTAGAGATATAGAATAAGTGTAATAGAAGGTATTTGTTTTATTAATTAATTTATTCCGAAATAATTTAAATGGGCCAGTTATCTTACCATAATCATCCTTGTGATCTAAAAACAAAAAGTTCAAAAGACTTTCTTGACGAATGATAAATGATATAGAATGACATATTATATATAGATTAAATGATGAGAGCATTGACTGGGATTACCGCATTGTATTTTCAATTTGCTACTAATAGAGCCATCCAAGAGGATATATGTAAAAGACATGTAAAACAACTCACATTAAAAACTATAATATAATTCATTTGATAAAATAAAACAATTATAAGTTTTATACACAATTTATAACAAGTGTAAATGATTTATAATAAAACACACACCGAAACATAGATACCAAATAAATACAATTACTGAACGAAGCCGAGACTCTTACCCTCCAGCACAAACGTACATTCAAATTAAAAATCTAAAGCGGACACTATCTTTAAACGCAATTACAGCTCATCAATTGAAAAAATCGTATGCGTTGTGTCAGTAAAAAAGAACTTGCGATTGCAATTAGTTCGGTGATGCAGCGTGGGCGGGAGGCTCCGCCTTGGAGGCGTGAGGAGGGCCGCCGGAGTGCGCCGCACAGGAGGGAACGCGGCCAGTCGCCCTCGCAATCGCGGACTCAACGCGCGCTGAACGTTCACATCGCGAATAAAGCGCGAATAGCCACACAAAATTCGGATACCGTTTGCCAAAAAAAAAAAAAACAGTTGTTTTTTGTTTCTTTTTGACACCTGTCAAATGAGTGAACGCTTTGTGACTGTATTGTGCAAGTGAGATCGAAAGTGTCTGGCGCGAGAAGAAAGCTCCGCGATACGACGATGACAATTGATTAAGCTATAATAAAATTTTGATTTTTTTGAAATCAAAATATATAGTTCCATGATTTTGAAATGCATTCTGATTGCGATGCGTCCCGATTACTGTTCTTAGTTTAAAAATGTCAAAGGAAAACAGAAAGACATGTATGCGTTTATGTAGCGTTCTTCTGAACGTAAGTGCGTGTGAATATGGACTTGACGACTCGTCGCGGGGATATGTTGGACGGAGCCGTCCCGGAATCTATATCAATGAACGGTTCGGATCAGTGCCGAGATATTGTGAACGGACCCCAGAACGGTAGTGACGTCACCGGTGTCACCGCCGACGTGCAGGTCCCTAGGAAGATTAACTCTTTCAGTATACGGAACTTGGTTGGCGGAGAGGACTCGAATCAGACAGCCGACGGAAACGTGACCGTAAATGATGGTAGGTACAGTCTATTTTAAAATTTTTATTCGATTTTTTTTATTGTCCTAGTAAGCAGACGAGCACACGGCCCACCTGATGGTGAGTGGTTACCGTCGCCCATGGACTTCAGCAATGTCAGGGGCAGAGCCGAGCCGCTGTCTACCTTACTTACTGCCTGCCTTACTTAAGAACGGATAATTATTCCTTTTTTCTTACTTTTATTGCAATATTGCACTTATTTGTTTCACTAGCAGATGAGTCGAACGAGCTTAAGGTAGTCTAGCTAATGGCCCTTAAGTTAACGCTGTTACTGAGCTTATAGCCATCATAACAGCGCGCGGTAAAAAAACGTCTTGCTGTGCCCCTGGTATTGCTGTCGTCCATGAGTGACGGTAACCAATGACTATCAGATGGGCCGTGTGCTCTTCTGTCTGTCTACAAGGGCAATAAAAATACCATAGTGTATTCCGACGCTCAACACGTGAAATCTAAATCTTAATTGTTTTGTATCTATCCGCGCGGCTTTGCATGCTTTGTATGAAAATAGACAAAGAAAACAGCTAAGTACCATTTCCTCCTGTTTCTTTTGCAGCTTTCCTTTTTTTTCTGTTTTTGTTTAGTAATTAATTATTGACGAGCTTTGGTAGTTTTTTTTTGTCAATAACAAAGCGATACAAGAAATGGGATATGTGAAATTAGTGTTCTTATATTTTAAGCACAGTAGCAGTTTTATGCGTGTTTGTTTTTGAGAATCGGTCGAGCATATTCTGGATTTTTTTTTTTTTGCTTAGATTGATGGACGAGCTCACAGCCCACCTGATGTTAAGTGGTTACTGGAGCCCATAGACATCTACAACGTAAATGCGCCACCCACCTCGAGATATAAGTTCTAAGGTCTCACTATAGTTACAACGGCTACCCCACCCTTCGAACCGAAACGCATTACTGCTTCACGGCGGAAATAGGCGGGGTGGTGGTACCTACCCGTGCGGACTCCCAAGAGGTCCTACCACCAGTGATTACGCAAATTATAATTATAGATAAAATAATATAATAATATAATAAGATAAAATAATAGATCGATGCTGGTGCTGACATAACACCTTCTAGTAGTATTTTTCTTTCTCTATATCTGTTAAAGTTTTTCAATGAATATCCCTATTCTTCAGTTTGAACACATTCTCGATACAAGTGAACTTTGTGTTAACGAATGTAAGTCTTGAGGAGTCAGTGATTATAGTTGAATTTCGATCGTTTTGGGCGAATATCAGCCAATTTAAAACAACGTTCAAAAATTGTCAAGTTGTCACTACCAATTTTGGTACCATTAAATTTTGACATATTACAGATTCCTAATATAAATGTGATATATTTGTTTGTTTTTTTTTTATTTAATTAATTTAATGTCATTAGATCAGACACATATTGCATGTAGAATTGACGAGTAGTTATAGTCTTATAAATATTTAAATACGTGTTCTGTAAATTCTCTGAGGAACAGTCTGAGGAATTAGCTATTTTTCTAAAATTTTGCTCATCCACATTAATTAATTTTAATAAAATTTCCAAATCATATTTATATTACGAGATATGTATTCCGAAATGCAAATAAACTCTTTTCGCAGTTTGAACATTAAGCTCGATTCAAGTTATTATTGAAAGGTAAGGCAGCGATTGTACTATAGACTTGACACTTAGAACTCATGTATCAAGGCGGCATTTACCTTGCCGATGTCAATGAGTTCCGATCCCTTAACACCAGCTGTGAGCTCGTTCACTCGTCCAACCAATAACAAAAAACACCTACTGTCATGTGTCCTAGTTTGTAGAAAGTAATTGTAAAATAAAAATGGGACTTCGATCTTATGTATTAAAGTGGATTTGTGATCTCTACTTAATTCGTAATGGTTACCCACCCACTTAATTCAGAGGATCGCGGGGTCATCCGCCAACCTAAGCCAATAAGGCAAGCCTGAAAAAAACTGTGGATCCACCCGTCTATCAGCATACGATCGTTTTTATTGCCTTCTACTTAATTAAAAATATTAACCCAGACATTTCGTAAAATTAATAAACTTTAATTGGTTGTGTCGTAAAAAAATAACGTTTTTCAATACATTATCTTATATTAATATTAATTATAAATATTATTTATTACGAGAAAACGTTTGAAAATTTTAATTTAACACACATATTTATGTTTTAGTGGTTTTGTATGTATTAAAACATCTAGCCATACGCCCTGACTTCGCACGAATGCATTAGGGAATAAACTACATAGCTCATGTAATTAATCGAAGTTATAGATGAATAGTGTCACTCCCGGATCCCGGGATGGCTTTGTCCGGAACAGAGGCACCTTTCCGGGACAAAAAATCCGGATACACTACGCACACAATTCCGTTCGCCACATTCACAGTAGTATCTCTTAAAGGCACACTGGCATCCACCAGTACACTGGTACTGATACCACTGGTACACAGGTACACTTCCATAATTGAGTTATTAATGAATAAAGGATAAATTAGAACTTTGCCTCTTAAACAGTATACAGATAAACCAATAAGGCACCCTCATAGATGAACCTCACGTATCAAATAATAATACTTAGATTTAAATTCGTTTTCTTCTATTAAGCAATTTTAATTCAGACATTGTTTAGAATAAAAATCGATTTTTCTCAACTTAAAAGTAATATAGTATATTTAAACTATTTAGAAGATAATATATTCAGGGAAGTCGTAGGAAAATTGATTGTGAGATCTCGAAAAACTTTTTTTTTTATTGCCCTACGGCCACGAGCATACGGCCCACCTGATGGTGAGTGGTTACCGTTGCCCATGGACTTCAGCAATGCCAGGGGCAGAGCCAAGCCGCTGCCTACCGTCAAGCCGCTGCCTACCGCCAAGCCGCTGCCTACCGTCAAGCCGTTGCCTACCACCAAGCCGCTGCCTACCGCCATCAACTAGCGAGTGATGACGATTAGCATCAACTGTCATTAAGTATGATAGACTTTAGATTGGCCAATTAAAATAATCTACTAAATACAGGCTAATACATGAGGAATAAAAGGTAGAATAAGTTGGACAGTCCTTTTTCTCTGTGTGTCCTCAGCGCGGACATCTCCTAGAAAGGGAAAAAGAAACATTGATTTTATTCCACTTTCATACGAAATACCAAAGCAAAGTCCTGATATCCTAACCTATCGATCACCATTTATCACGCATACAGTAAACCTGTAATGAAGCCACATGCTCAGGAATTAGATCCACGATGCAGAAATAAGTTCGTATAATAAAAATTAAAAGTTATTATTTACGTTATCACTGGCATTAGGGCGTCTTACGTGCTCGCATGGGTATATACCAGCACCATGCCTACTTTTATCGCGAACCAATAACGCATTCTGATTTGAAGGGTAAGGTAGAAGACGTACTATAGAACTGAGGCTTAGAACTCATGTCTCAAGGTGAGTGGCGGCATTTACCTTTATTGTATAGTATGGACTCCGGTAACCGCTTAACATCAGAGGGACCGGCTCATTCTTCATTTGTCTAAATAAATCTAAATAAAAACCTGCACGCATTTAAAGGAAGATTAAAAAGAGGATTCCGGAGTAAACACAATGTAATAATTACTATTGATATCTAAAGGTTCTAAAGGTTCTAAGATTCAAAAGATTCCGAACAAGCGAAAAGACACCACCGCCCAGCCCATTTCTGCCGCGAGGAAGTCATGCCTTCCGGTTCGAATTTGGAGACAAATACAATACAATTGAGATTTCGGCCGTCATGTCTGAAGATGGGTGACATCATTCATGTTCTATGCCCTCTAATGCCCACTTCACACAAGGTAGATGGTCAGATCATAAACCAATCGAGAATAATAAACCCAAATCTTGAAACGTCAATATGAAAACATAATTTAAAAAACTTTTTTTCTTCCAAATTAAATTAATCGAATATTATAATCAGATTATTAATGAAGCGAACAATCAATTATTCGTATATTTCGAATTATGAATAATATCGTAATCTGACATCAACATAACTAGCATATAATTACAAGGAAATAAAAACCGGTCGTCATAATATTGATTATATAGTTTTTCGTATAAATTATATGCCATAAACAAGTATGGCGGTGTGATGACGTCATTTGCTAATTGTAAACAATGTTTCCAGGTTTCAGTTACACTTGTCGATTCAGTGATGGTATTTCTCACGCTCTTCTTCTTGCAATAATAATCTTATTTAAAACTTTAATAATGTTCATACAAAGAAAACACAGGAAAATAAATGCGCGTGTAGTTTATCATTTATCTATTTAAATTTATTTACGTAATATAAGTATTAAAAATACATATATAAAATACTACTGTGTCAAGAAAGCTCCGGGAAAAGATTAATAATCCAAAAAATATTAGGTATTCATCCTAAATTTATTTTATGACCTTTAAAGTATGCTCCTTAAGAAACAATACGCTTACGCCAAAAATTATCCTTTATAGCTTCTATCGAATACTCGTAGTAGCCTAGTAGTATTCTATTGTACAGTAGGGACCTGGAAGTGGTAATCTGAGTTTAGGAAAAAGAAAGATGTTGGCTGGAGTCATATCTGGCGAATAAGGTGGCTGTTTCTTTATGGTATTTGTTGAATTTTTTGGTCAAAAATTCGTTCACAATGATGGCCTTGTTTGAAAATTATTGTGGTACAAAGTCCAAGAATTTTCTTTTCACAAATCTGGCCTTTTTCGTCGAATTAAATTCTTAAACGTCGCAAACCGCTCAAATAATTTTCTTTATGTATACCATAATTCCGGGTTCTTTTTTTTCTCTAATTATTCTAGTGACCTCGAGGGGTTATACTAGATTCACCGAGCGAGTAGGTGAGCTCACGGGGCTCTAATCTGGGGACGTTGCTAACACTAGCCCTAGCAAGAGCAATGCTTCGCAGAATCTACGACCGGATCGGTAACGCGACCCACTGAAAAGATCCAGTGAGAAATTCAGTGGGCT